TCCTTCCTTCGTCCCCTTTACTGTCCTCTTGTCCATTCCTTCGTCCCTTCACTGTCCTCTGTCCCTTCCTACAGTCCTTTACTGTCCTCTTTGTCCCTTCACTGTCCCTTCCCTCTGTCCTCTGTCCCTTCCTACAGTCCTTTACTGTCCTCTGTCCCTTCCTCAGTCCCTTCACTGTCCCTCTGTCCCTTCCTCTGTCCTCTGTCCCTTCCCTCGACCCTTCACCGTCCTGCTTGTCCTTTCACTGTCCCTCTGTCCCTTCCTCCGTCCCTTCACTGTCCCTCTGTCCCTTCCCTCTGTCCCTTCACTGTCCTCTGTCCCTTCCTCCGTCTCTTCACCGTCCTCTGTCCCTTCCCTCCGTCCCTTCACCGTCCTCTGTCTCCTCCCTCCGTCCCTTCACTGTCCTCTGTCCCTTCCTCCGTCCCTTCACTGTCCCTTCCTCCGTCCCCTTCACTGTCCTCTGTCCCTTCCTCTGTCCATTCACTGTCCCTTCCTCCGTCCCTTCACTGTCCTCTGTCCTCTCACTGTCCTCTGTCACTCCCACCAGTCCTTCACTGTCCTCTTGTCACTCCCACCAGTCCTTCACTGTCCTCTGGCCCTTCCTCCGTCCCTTCACTGTCCTCTGTCCCTCCCTCCCGTCCCTTCACCATCCTCTGTCCCTTCCTCCGTCCCTTCACTGTCCTCTGTCCCTCCCTCCGTCCCTTCACCGTCCTCTGTCCCTTCCTCTGTCCCTTCCTCCGTCCCTTCACTGTCCTCTGTCCCTTCCTCCGTCCCTTCACCGTCCTCTGTCCCTTCCTCCGTCCCTTCACTGTCCTCTGTCCCTTCCTCCGTCCCTTCACTGTCCTCTGTCCCTTCCTCCGTCCCTTAACTGTCCTCTGTCCCTCCCTCCGTCCCTTCACCGTCCTCTGTCCCTTCCTCCGTCCCTTCACCGTCCTCTGTCCCTTCCTCCGTCCCTTCACTGTCCTCTGTCCCTTCCTCCGTCCCTTCACTGTCCTCTGTCCCTTCCTCCGTCCCTTCACTGTCCTCTGTCCCTTCCTCCGTCCCTTCACTGTCCTCTGTCCCTCCCTCCGTCCCTTCACCGTCCTCTGTCCCTTCACCGTCCTCCCTCCGTCCCTTCACCGTCCTCTGTCCCTCCCTCCGTCCCTTCACCGTCCTCCCTCCGTCCCGTCCTCCGTCCCTTCACCGTCCTCCGTCCCTTCACCGTCCTCTGTCCCTTCACCGTCCTCCCTCCGTCCCTTCACCGTCCTCTGTCCCTTCACCGTCCTCCCTCCGTCCCTTCACCGTCCTCTGTCCCTCCCTCCGTCCCTTCACCGTCCCTTCACCGTGCTCTGATCAACAGCTATACATTACGGCAGCAAGAGAGCCGGCCCAAGAGGCAGCAAACACGCTGACTATAACCCGGCACATTTTCCCCCGTAGCGGACGGCGGTGTTCCCAGTTGGCGCCCTCAGCCCAACGTACAGGGCGAATGAGACTATGAAATTGCATTCCCCGAGTGTAGTGTGTTCGAGGAGCCCCGACGCTGCCCTAGTATGTGCCTTGTCTCAGGTTGCTCACCCTCACTCATCCTCCCTCGCCCTCACTCTCCCTCACTCTCCCTCCCTCACCCTGGCTCTCCCTCACTCACCCTGGGTCGTTCTCCCTCATCCTGGGGCGTCCTGCCTCATCCTGGGGCGTCCTGCCTTATCCTGGGTCACCCTCCCTCATCCTGGGTCGTCCTCTTTCACCCTGGCTCGCTCTCCCTCATCTTGGGGCGTCCTTCCTCATCCTGGGTCGTCCTCACTCATCCTGGGTCGTCCTAACTCACCCTGGGTCGTCCTCCCTCACCCTCACTCTCCCTCCCTCCCCCTACCATTGAGTTCCTCTCCCGTCATCTAATCTCCATCACCGTCAATCTCCCTCTTTCTCACTCTTTCTCCCTCACTCTCCCTCCCTCACTCTCCATTCATCCTGGGATATCTTCCCCTGTGAAACTAGACTATTGGGTGTTTAGCACTGATATCTTCTCGTTTGCCTTATACTGCTACTATCTCCTCGTCACTAACCTAATACTGCCACTAATTTCCGACTACAATCAGTCTACTTCCCCCCCCCCTCACTAATCTACTGCTGCCAGCAATTCATCTCAGCTTCTACCCCAATCATGGCATCAGACTACTTCTCCCAACAAACCATCATAGAACCATCTACAGCTGTCACTCCACTACCACCTCTTGGCTACACCTGTCAGTAAGTACCACACACACACACACCACTAAACCATTGCTACAACAATCCCACTCCCACCAGTAACCTACCACAACCACAATCTTTCACCACTGCCACAAACCTCTGTTTTTCTAATCATGTTTTTCGTCTGCCACCTGACTGTCTCACCCACCACCTGGCTGTCTCATCCACCACCTGGCTGTTCCATCCACCACCTGGCTGTCTCACCCACCACCTGTCTGTCTCACCCACCACCTGGCTGTTCCATCCACCACCTGGCTGTCTCACCCACCACCTTACTGTCTCACCCACCACCTTACTGTCTCACCCACCACCTGGCTGTCCCACCCCCTGGACAGGAGAGACAAGCATGTGTCTCCCCAGTCACAAAACTAGGGGCCCCAGAGATAGAGAGAGAGAAAAATAAATACTTTTAAGAAGAACCGTAAATGAGATTGTTTAAGTCACTTGGTCCTTCGAGTCGCACTTGGCCCCTCGAGTCGCACTTGGCCCCTCGAGTCGCACTTGGCCCCTCGAGTCACAGTTGGATACACGTCACTTTTGGAGTCATTAGAGTGATAAGGTGAGATGTGACGCTTCACTAAGGACGAGAGTCCAAGGAATCATCTCCCAAGGAGCGACTTTGTGGTTCTTTTTTGCATTTTTTCCTTGCCAAATATTTTCTTATTTTTTTTGTATATATGTGTATTTTTGTACTTATTAACCACCAAGTATCTATAGTATTTTTGTGCTTATTAACCACCAAGTATCTATAGTATTTTTGTGATGCCTGAAGTATTTTGTGATGTGCTTTTGAGAGAATTCTTCAATGCCAGAGATTTGATCACATATATCCATAATCCTGTGAAATCGAATATGATAGTGTGTATATTAGAGAGGAGTGTGCGGGGTGTACGATGGTGTATTGACGGAGGCTGTGTTGTGTTGCAGATGTCCGATGATGACCGGATGTCCCTGACGACGGCGGTGAGTGAAGACGAGGACGGAGAGAGTGTCCACAACTCACCTTACAAGGCACCACGGGCTGGCACCACCGCCGCCTCCTTCAACTGTACGGGTGCCGTCAGGAAGGCTGG